GAAGCAAGAGACTGAACCCTAGAAGCAGAACTGACCCTAGAAGCAAGAGACTAAACGCTAGAAGCAGGACTTGACGCTCTAGAAGGCAGAGACTGGACCCTAGAAGCAAGAGCACTGACGCTACGAAGCAAGAGGTCTAAACGCTAGAAGCAAGAGACTGAACGGCCTAGAAGCAATGAGACTGCGACGCCTAGAAGCAAGAGGACCTGAACCTATGAAGCAAAGAGACTGAACGCTAGAGCAAGAGTCTAAACGCTAGAAGCAAGAGACCTGAACGCCTAGAGCAAGCAGACTGCGACCTAGAAGCAAGAGGACTGAACGCTAGAAGCAAGAGACTAAACCCTAGCAACGCAAGAGACTGAACGCTAGAGGCAAAGAGACTGGACCCTTGAGAAGCAATATGAGCACTAAACCCTAGAAGCAAGAGACTGCGACCTAGAAGCAAAGACTGCCAACCCTAGACGCAAGAGACTGGACCCTAGAAGCAGAGGACTGAACCCTAAGAAGCAAGAGACTGAACCCTAGAAGCAATGAGACTAACGCCTAGAAAGCAATGAGACTGAACTGCTAGAAGCAAGAGACTGGACCTAGAAGCAAGAGACTAAAACCCTAGAAGCAAGAGACTGCCGACCTAGAAGCAGAGACATAAACCCTAGAAGCAAGAGACTGCGACCCTTAGAAGCCAAGAAAACTGCACCTAGAAGCAAGAGACTGGACCCTAGAAAGCTAACAGACTGGACCCTAGAAGCAAGAGACTGAACCCCTAGAAACAGAGACTGAACCTATTCTCTTACACAAACACACTCACGCACAAAACACACACTGCACACACTGCGCGCACACACACACAGACACACACACGCGCGCGCCACACACACACACACACACAACACACACACACACACACACACACACACATCACACACACACACGCACACAAACACACACACACAAACACACGCACGCACAAAACACACACGCACACACCACGCGCACACACACCACACACACACACAGCACACACACACACACAGTCACACACATCACACGCCACACAAACACACACACACACACACACACACACACACACACGCACGCACACACACACACATACACATACTACACAACACAAACACACACACTCTCTCACACATACTCTCTTTTGCTCTCTTTCTCTCTCTCTCTCTCTCCTTCTCGTGCGCACTCCTTCCTCTCTCTCTCTTCTTTCTCTCGCGCACTCCTTCCTCTCTCTCACACTCTCCGCCACCGTCACCATCACCATCACTCACTCTCACTGTCACTCTTACTCTCACTCTCACTGTCGTGCATTCGTGAGCGTGTGTGTGTGTGTGTGTCGTGGCGTGCCTGCAGTGCGTGTGCGGCGTGCGTGGGACGCCCCCAATTTTGAGCTGAGAGACGATGGTGTATCTACGTTTGTTATCTGTCGCTGCCACCTGTCTGTCTCGTTGTGTGTCTTGAGTTGTTCTGTGCTGATTCTGTTCGTGTCTATCTTCGCTCTGTGCGCATCTCTTCTTGTTGTGTCGCAAAGAGTGTGCACCGATTTCTGAATAAACATTGAATATTTTCTATCTCGCATACAAAGGATCATCCTTGAATTGGTTCGGATAGTCAATTTCACGTGATATTTTGCAAGCCAATGCGATCATTCTATTCGATATAAAACTGCTCGTGTTTGATCCTCCACAGCTAGTGCGCGTTCG